AAACCCAAAACCCTATAAACCCTCTAAACCCTGTAAACCCTAAGCCCTAAACCCTAAACCCTATAAACCCTATAAACCCGAAAAACCCAAAAACCTAAGCCCTAGACCCCTCAGGCATGGCACCTGGTCGAGCGTCCTTGAAGCGGCCACAATCGGCCCCAAAGGAACCGCTTCGGCCTCAGAGCTCTTTCCCAAAGGCTCCATGTGGGGTTTAGGGTTTAGGGCTTAGGGTTTAGGGTTTAGGGCTTAGGGCTTAGGGTTTATAGGGTTTATAGGGTTTCTAGGGTTTATAGGGTTTAGGGCTTATAGGGTCTGTGGGGTGTAGGGTTTAGGGTTTAGGGCTTAGGGTTTATAGGGCTTAGGGTTTAGGGCTTAGGGTTTATAGGGCTTAGGGTTTAGGGCTTATAGGGCTTAGGGTTTAGGGATACTTAGGCCTTAAAGGGGTCCCTATATAGGTACCTTTAAGGCCTAAGTATCTACTATATGGGTACATGGAGCCTCAGAGCTCTTTAGGAGACCTCCGGCTCAAACTAGGGCTCCCTGTAAAGGGACTATAAGGGTTTAGGGTTCCGGGTTGAGGGTTTAAAGTTAGGGTTAGGGCTTTAGGGTTAAGGGTTTAGGGTTAAGGGTTTAGGGCTTAGGGCTTACGGTTTAGGGTTTAGGGTTCTGTAAGAGACCGACTAAAGGAACTATAGGAGACTGATTAAAGGAACTGTAAGAGGCCGATGAAAGGAACTATAAGAGACCGACCAAGTACTAATGGAACTACTGCAGAGACCCGATTGAAGGAACTATCAAAGACCGACTAAAGGAACTAAAAGGACCTGTCAGGAGCGCTTAAAGGTTCATCTCGAGTGTTCCCCCAAACCCTAAACCCCAAACTCTAAGTGGTTTAGGGTTTAGGGTCCCCAGGGGAACCCACGGTGTCGCCACGGGGAGCTAACATAGGGGCCTTAATAATTAGAAGACTCGTTTGGGAGCTTCCTTATTATAAATATAGTATACTGGGCCCCATGCAGAACCCTATTCTCATTGTGAAGGCACCTCTACCACAAACCCTTGTAGTAGCGCTTATAAAAACCCTTTAAGGAACCCTTAAAACGAGCCCCCAGAACCCTCTTCTAATTATGAAGGCCCCTATCCCTTATAGAACCTTTTAAGGAACCCTCAAAAGGAGCCCCAAAACCCTAAACCCTAAACCCTAAAACCCTAAACCCTAAACCCTAAACCCTAAAACCCTAAACCCTAAACCCCCCCCAAAAAAGGGTTTATGAAGGCCCATTATGTAGTTTGCAGGCTTCGGGGCTTGGAAGCTTCGGGTCTCGGAGGCTTTTCATTTCGGGCTTCAGCTCTTGAGCCTTCAGGTGGTTTGGGGTTTAGGGTTTAGGGCCTAGGGGTTTAGAGTTTATGTTTTATATAGTTTAGGGGGTTTAGGGCTCAGGGGTTTAGGGGTTTAGGGTTCAGAGTTTAGGGTTTAGGATTTAGGGTTTTAGGGTTTAGATTTGAGGGCTTTAGGGGTTTAGGGTTTTAGGTTGTCCTTGACTGCAAAATTACAAGCCGTAAGGCTTCAAGGATACGGCAAACGAACTGGCTTTTTTCTGTACCCCTCAAACACTATTCTACTTGTTAAGGCCCCTACATTAAACCCCTAAACCCTAAACCCTAACCCTAACACTATTCTATTTTTTTCTGGGCTCCTCCGTCTCCAAGCAGCAGCTACCCTCAGCTCTCTAGAGTCGTTGTGAAGTCGGACTCCGCAGCTAAAACCGGGCTCCGGGTTGGTACTGGGGCCCTTGGGCTTAGTAGGGTTTAGGGGTTTAGGGTTTAGGGTGCAGGGTTTAGGGGTTTAGGGGTTTAGGGTTTAGGATTTAGTACACAGGAAAGGTTAAACGTTTCCTACGCTACTACTAAGGTAAGAGACTCCTAATGTCTACAAGGCGAAGTAAGCGCCGTCGAAGCCTTAAGGCTCGAACCGTGACCGAGGGGTTCAAGCACCCGGACTGGAAAGAATCCTGCGCTGCCCCCACTAAACCCTACCTGTGGCCGAAAAAACTACCTTTTTAGGGTTCCCTATTATGGTTTCTATATATAAGTCCTGAAAAAGGTAGGTTTTTTGGGCCACAGGTAGTACCAACTCGCTGCATCATTTGGACCCCTAGATATAGTGTTGCTGCTCTTGCCATGACTATGATGATCAATGGATCCTAAACCCTAAACCCTCAACCCATCCCTGAGTTTTGTTGTGACCGTTCTCCTTACGATTAACGTCGTTAGGATATGAGCCGTTCTCTAAATTAGGGTCCCTTTTTAAGTCGCCAATATAGTACGGCACTCGTATCAAAAGGACCCCCGAAAGGGACCCTAGTTTAGACAACTACCCATATGACCCCTAAACCCTAAACCCTA